AAAGGACACACACACACACACACATATATATGTGCGCGTATATTCAGATTCTTTTCATTTGCAGGTTATTACAATATACCAAGTACAGTTCCCTCTGCTTCACCATAGGTCCCCGTGGGTTATGTATTTTGTATATAGTAGTTTGTATCTGCTAATCCAACCTCCTACTTTATCCCTTTTCCCCTTCAGTGGCCATAATTTGGGCCTCTGTGCCCAAGGGTCTATTTCTGTCCTGTAAATAAGTTCATTTGTGTAGTTTTTAAAAAGATACAGGTATCACCTGCAGATGATACCATCAGTTATTTCTCTCTGTAGGTCTGACTTATTAATACCTCACTTTGTGTGATAATCTCTAGGCGCATCTATATTGCTGTAAATGGTGACATTTCATTTTTTTTTTATGACTGAATAATGTCTCACTGTGTGTGTGTGTGTGTGTGTGTGCCCGCGCATATGTTTCTGTATGTATGTATTTCCGTGGGTGTGTATATACGTCTTCTTTATCCATTTGTTGACGGACATTTATGTTGCTTCCATGTCTTGGCCGATGTAAATAAAGCTGCAGTGAGCATCGGGGTACCTGAAAAAATCCAAATAAGACCATCACTGTTCACTGTTACAATACATGGAGAATTGACAGGTAGTGCTAGAATTTGGTGCTAATGATGACATTGAGGAATGTATGCTATTCTGCTTTCTGTCGTGCCTCTGAAATCTTATTCCTTTGTGCCGTTGAGTGCTTGGAACAGTCTGTCACACTGCGAGAATAATATAACAAGAGAAGTCTCGGGAGTTTTTAACATATAATGAAAGCTTAGACACTGGTGCTCCAGGACACTCGACTGTAAGAGATTTGGGTACCAGTTGGAAAAAGAAAAAAAAAAAACAGAGAAAACCCCACTAGATCGTGTAAGTTGGCTCTGTGTGTGCAGGCGGGTGATGTTGTGTAGAACTCCTGGGTCTGGTACCTAAACATGGAAACACTTCTCACCCAAAAGGAGAGCGTCAGGGGACTCTGTCCACTGAGGCCCTTGGACTCTACTCGGCCAGGACAGACAACCACGCACGGAGAAGTCAAACCAGATGCCAAGACCCTGTTGATGGATTGCCTGATCCAGAAAACCATCGTTACGGCATTATTCTTACACATGTTTAATACAAAGAGGAAAAAGCAATAGTTCTGTGGGTTCCTGAAATAATTTTCAATAATATTAAAAAAAAAAAAAAACTTAAAGAGACCTCAGAAACTAATTTCTGTGTGTCTTTGCTACAAGGCAGAACTGTTTAACGGGACAAATGCATGGCCTCAAATTCTTCAAGATTTACAGGCAGGAGCTTCCAACTGCAACATTGTTAATTTTATTTTTGAATTTCAGTGAAGAAGAGATGCTCAAATGTTATGACAGTGCCTATAAATATACAAGATTATTTATATGTCATGCCTGTCTTTCTAAAATAGAGATGACATAGTCCCATTACTATCTTTCTTATTTTATCTCTCCTGCACATTTGTCTTGCTCTCTTGACTAATTCATAGTATGTGGCATCTTGTGAAGACAGAACCTTAATAGGATAGTTCAGCCATGGACTGAAATACTGCTGTTAAATACTGCTGTATTTAACATGGAGAGCCAGCAAGGACCTGCTGTCCAGCACAGGGAAATCTGCTCAGTGTCATGTGGCAGCCTGGATGGGGGAGAATGGATACATGTATCATATATATTGCTGAGTCCCTTTTCTCTGCACCTGAAACCATCACAATGTTATTAGTCGGCTATGAAAATGAAAGTCACTCCGTCGTGTCCGACTCTTTGCAACCCCATGGACTATACAGTCCATGGAATTCTCCAGGCCTGAATTCTGGAGTAGGGAGCCTTTCCCTTCCCCAGGGGATCTTCCTGACCTAGTAGTGGAACCCAGGTCTCCCGCATTGCAGGCAGATTCTTTACCAGCTGAGCTACCAGGCTGGCTGTGAAAGTGAAGTGAGAGTGAAGTCGGTCAGTCGTGTCCGACTCTTTGCCACCCCATGGACTGTAGCCCACCAGGCTCCTCCATCCAGTGGAATTTTCCAGGCAAGAGTACTGGAGTGGGTTGCCATTTCCTTCTCCAGGGGATCTTCCCAACCCAGGGATTGAACCAGGGTCTCCCGCATTGCAGGCAGATGCTTTTACCATCTGAGCCACCAGGGTCCCTATACTCTAATATACTCTAATCACCAGGTTGGCTATACTCTAATATAAAAGTAAAAAAAACAAAGAATGTCTAACAATAACTTACAAACCTTAGAAAAATATTAGGAATCTCTCTATTTTCTGGACACAACACAAAGTTGCATAATGCTCCTGCTTTTTGATGGAGTCTAAAATAAGCATTGTGTATTCATATTCCTCTTTGAATACTGACTTTGAAAAATAGACCAATTATTTTTTTTTTTTTTTTGCTTCTTTCCACTATCTTAAAAGAAGTGATGTGATAAAAATGTCACATGTTTCAGAAAATGGCATGGGTTATCACTGACGAGGTCAGTGCATTTAGGATCCAGACCGATTATACTATAGAAATTTCTGTCGATTCTACTGATTATAAAAGGGTGTTTTTCACCTTTGTTTTCTCACAGCTGGTGGACATGGCTTAGGAATGAGGGCATGAAGAATTCTTCCAGGAATGCCCCGATCTCTGCCTGTCCAAGTGGAGTGGAGAGTCTCTTTCTTTAAGTCCTGATTGCAACTCAAGCATTCAGTCCAGAGCACTTTGTCTTTAATAAAGTGCGGTCACTTAAAGCTGACTCCAACACCACTCTCAACACGGAAGATGCCTCTCAGAAACCAAGCCACTCTGCATGTCTGCGACTTCCGTCTCTGATCCCTTCTGTCTTAACGGCCGTACCAGCACCAGCCTTCCTGCCCCGGGAGCCCCACGGCTGCCTTGGGAAGCCGTTCCTTGCGGAGCTGGCTCACTCTCCCTGGCAGCATCACCCCTAATAAATCCACACGGCTTGTCCCTTGTTCCTTCTCAAACTCGCGCTCTCTAGGACCCTGGGGGAGACCTCTAAGGGGCCGTGTTAATCCAGATGGGAAGGGGGTTAGCACCCCTGGGACAGCCCACAGTCCCTAGGGCATGGATGCTCTTAGATACGATGGTTCCTGGAACAGCATGGGTTTGAAATGCACGGGTCCACTCATCCGCACATTTTTTTTTTTCCCAAAAATACTCCAGTATTACGGAATGGCCAGTTGGTTGAAAGCAGAGATGGAGAATGTCAGAGACAGGCAGAAACTGTGGATGCAGAGGTTGACTCAACTCGCTTGCAGTTTCTCTACTGCATAGAGGTTCAGCACCCGAACCCCTGTGGTGTTTGGGGTCCACTGTAAATGCTCCTACTGAAGGTGAAATCCCCACAAACCTGGGTATACAGACCTCAGAGGATAGGGGAGCATGAGCCCCTTTTATCCACAGCCCTTTGCATTCTTCACCCAGATTCCTGAGATCACCACCTACATAAGCCAGCTGCACAAAAGGTCTTGTTTGAGGTGTTCTTTTGAGGGGAACCCAGGATAAAGGAATGGGCCACCCACTCCAGGATTCTTGCCTGGAGAATCACACGGACAGAAGACCTGGCGGGCTGCAGTCCACGGGGTCGCAAAGACTCAGACACGACCGAGTGACGCACACACACACACAGACACAAAGACTGTTTCTTTTCCTTCTTCCCTCTCTCCTTCCTTCCTTTTTTCTTCTCTTCCGCTCTCTGTGTATATCTCTGTCTAATCTATTTTGTAATCCATCATTTGATCTAGTCTATCATCTACCATCCAGCATAAAGAGATACGGTGACTTCTAGAGGGTCATTTTCAAGGAATACTTATGATGTTTTAATGGCAACTTTGTCTGAATCTGGCTTCCCTGCTGACTCAGTGGTAAAAAAAATAAAATAAAATAAAATCTGCCTACACTGTAGGAGACATGGGTTGGATCCCGAGGTGGGGAAGAATCCCTGGAGAAGGGAATGGCAGCCCACTCCAGTATTCTCGCCTGGAGAATCCCACGGACACAGGAGCCTGGCGGGCTGCAGTCCCTGGGGTCACAAAGAGTCGGGGACACGGCTGAGCGACTAGCATTTTCACACTTGCAGAAATCAGTAGCAGCAAGCGATTTTCTATTCAGTGGTTCTTCTTTTGCTTGCTACGGTTTATTGCAGACTTAAGTGTTACAGACTGAACGTGTTCCCCAGATTCTTTTCTCTGTGAGTCAGGAGGAGGGTCCCCGTCAGAACCAGACCAGGCTGGTACTCTGAGAAGTAAAGTCTTATTGTTTACAAGCTGCCCATTGCATTAGACTGTGTTCTAGCAGCCTGAGCTGCCCCAGAGTTCTCTGTCTTTGAAGAAAGACGGCATGGTGGTCGTAAGAGGAAAATCTGAGTGAGTTCAGGAACAGAATGTAAATGACAGAGCCCACTTAGAATATGTCTGATTAGAGACATTGCATGCGCTTGTTGTTCAAAGAAATGATGCAAGCCAAGCAGGATGATCTAAAGGGCGAGCTTGGGCTTCCCTGGTGGTCCGGTGGGTAAGGATCCGCCTGCCAATGCAGGGGACACGTGCACCCATCCCTGGTCCTGGCAGATCCCAAAGGCCAAGGGGCACATAAGCCCAGGAGCCACAACTCCTGAATCTCACGCTCTCGAGAACCTGTGCTCGGCAAGATGAGACGCCACCTCCTGAGAAGCCCGCACACCACAAGTGGTAGCCCCTGCTGGCCACGACGAGAGAAGGCCCTGTCCAGCAACAGAGACTCAGGCATGGCCCACAAGAAAGAAATCAGCTTAAATCAGAAAGTACCCTCTGCCCCTCACCTCACCTGGAAGTCTGCTCACCGGCCTGAGTGAGGTACGAACAAACTCTTGCCCGTGTCCTTAATCAAAACCGCAGTGCCGCGTTGCTTTTGCAGCAGTAGTGTGCCGTGAGTTTCCTTGCTGATGCCTTTTCCAGTCTTCCGTCTTCATGAGATCACTTTTCTTCCTTGATTCTTCTTCCGATGACGAGCTGCCTGTTATGTTTCGTATGGGCGTGGCCCCTCAGCCAAGGCCAGCTGCAGTTAGGTCATCCTTGGCGTCGTCCTCTGTCGAGTATTATGTCTCCAAGCTCATCGGAGAAGGGCGTCCAGTTCCAGAGGATGAGCACACACTCCTGGCTTCGTGTTGGCCCGAGCCTCGTCACTTCCACTTAAGGGTGATTCAACAGGCAGCTCTGGGACATGACGTCACTGAGCAGAAGTCATGTCCAAACGCTGGCCAGCAAGCCTCCTGGGAAAGAGATGGATGGGAAAAAGACTTTAGATTTGGAAATGGTTCCGCTGCGCAAGCTATTGCATCAAACCGCTTATTCAACCCACACCTGAGAGTCTTTGAAAGAGGTTGACTCGAGCGGGCCTCGGAAGGTTATAATCAGCTATTGGCCGCAGTGTGTGACACTCTCTCTCAATTGGTGTGGACAGATACTAAGCAGAAGAGACGCCAGAGGCTGGCACAGTTTAAACATAAGTGAGCTGACGTGTTTATGCGATTCACTGGATAATATGATACAACAGATGACTTCCAAATCCTGACTTTTAAACTCTCTCCATATGTGTGGGCAGTTCGGTACGTCCAATATTTCAAGTAACCCTTCACTGACTCTTCTCGTAAAGCAAAACGTCATTCTGTGAAGTAAATTATCCATCTCTCTCTCTCTCGATAAACTCTGGTTTTGTTCCCCTGTGTTTAATTTCCTCGAGGAAGAGCCGCTTCAAAAATTAGCTTGATTTTATTAAGCTCGAAATTACTTCCCATGTTGGAAGGATCACAGCTTTTTCTGTATATGGCAAAGAGGCGAAAATCTTTACTTGTGTAAAGAACTGTAATTTGAAAGATGATTACATTGATGCTGTTAGATCAGTCATCCGAGTAATGCAGCTTGCAGATCCTGCATCGAAAGCCCTCGCTATGGGCCCACTGTCATACGTCTGGTTGGAACACATGCACGTGCATTTGTTTATATTTGCACATGATGTTATCTGTGAAAATATACTTGGTGATTAGTGATGAGCTCATAAATGCTCAGAACTTTTCCGCACAGAGCATAATACTCTCGTTGGGATTAGACGTATGGAGATACTGCCAGACAACATGGGTTTACGGCCCTATCCGCTGGTCACCAACCAACACAGTGTGAAGAACTCACGTGCTTGGTTTATTCAAACCGAAAGAGGGGAAGACGCCTGAACCGGCCAGCTGGCACAAATTATACTTGGAGCAGCATTTCTCTCCCGCTCATCCAAACAAAATAGGCTCACAGCTCATTCGTTCGTCGTTTTACTGTGTCCATCAAGATCTAGTCTAGTGCCAGACTCACTGAGAGACACCCTTCACAGGTGTCTTGAGATTTGTAGGTTGCTGAATTTTTCATTCTGTCCTTTTCAAATCTCTTTCGGACTCTGCCTGAAGTTGTTCTCTTGAGTTGGATATTTCACTGTTCTTGTTTAGGATTTAAATCCCGTAGTTCCATTAGGGGCTCACAGTTTTCTCTAAGACTTTTGGCACTGATCTCAAATCGTATAAAATCAGTTGGTTTCCAAAAACAGGCGTTTGTTGTTGTTGAGCAGTCGCTAAGTTGTGTCCGACTCTTTGCGACCCCATGGACCGCAGCACTCCAGGCTCCTCTGTCCTTCACTATCTCCTGGAGCTTGCTCAGATTCGTGTCCATTGAGTTGATGGTGCTATGTGACCATCTCATCCTGTGTCATACCCTTCTCCTCCCACCTTCAATCTTTCCCAGCATCAGGGTCTTTTCCAGTGAGCCAGTTCTTCACATCAGGTGGCCAAAGGATTGGAGTTTCAGCTTCAGCATCAGTCCTTCCAATGAATATTGAGGACTGGTTTCTTTTAGGTTGGACTGGTTGGATCTCCTTGCAGTCCAAGGGGACTCTCTAGAGTCTTCTCCAACACCACAGTTCCAAAGCATCATTTCTTCGGTGTTCAACCTTCTTTATGGGCATAAATACATACATATTCTGTCTAAGTCTTCCCTGTTAAGTTACACCTATGTCTGTATCCATGTATCTCTGCTCAAAGAAATACTTAAAACCAAATACTGGGTCACTTGTGTTTAAATACTTGCAAACGGCTTTATTGTAAGTGTAAGTTAATTACATTATCTTCACTAAATATCCTGGTAAGGCTCAATTCAGTGGCACGGATTGGGTCTAGGATCACCAGGCACAGACTTGACACACTCACACTGCATGGATTTTATACCGTCTACATTTTGTGCAAATGTGGACTTGCCAAAATTATTTTTAAAATGTCTCATGTCAGTTTCACCCTCAGAATCCCAAGTACTAGATGGAAATGACCATCCACCGGAAGGCTCCTGGGATGTGTGAATCAGGTTACTTCCTGTCTGTGCAATCCCGTTCCTATTCTTTTCCTGGCGAGACCCTACGAAACACAGACGCCCAATCCCCTGACCCTGTCTAGGAGCCTCTGAGCCAAGTCACTCTCCCCTCTGACTTCCCGGAATATCTCATTCATCGACACGTCAGTGCGTGTGTCCCTCCTTATTAACAGCTGCTCACGGCAGGGCCAGAATTTCAGGTAGACTTACACCTTGGGGTCTGTGCCTGCAGGTATGTTGTTGTTGTTACTTTGCTCAGTCGTGTCAGACCCTTGCAACCCCATGGATTGTAGCCCACCAGGCTCCTCTGTCCATGGGATCTCCCCAGTTCCTCCTTCAAGGAATCTTCCCCACCCAGGGGTTGAACCCACATCTCCTGTATTGGCTGGCGGGTTCTTTACTGTTGAGCCACCAGGCTGCATTTCCATTGGTTTTGTATCAGAATGAGCTGAACGATATGCTCGATTGAATCATCCAGCTGCAAACCGTACGAACTGGAGGAGAAGTCAGCGGTGCTGACTTCTCACGTGGAAGTTTGCCTGCCATGAAATAACGCCCAAATAGACCGTAATCACGTTAGAGCTGTCATGCTTTAATTTCGATTAACCCCGTATATTGCACTGAGTCTCATGCAGTTGAACGGTAATGAAATCCAAAAAAAGCTACATGCAGTATTATAGCTTTAGGTTTTTTTTTTTAATACAAATATATATAAAGTTATACCTATACCCACGGGCAGGGCTCTTGCATGAGTCATGGGTCTTATCAGCAACCAGCCAGTGGCCGTGATCCGAGGGACTCACAGAACAGTCTCCACAAAGAATACATTTTTTCTGTGTAATGGGATTCCCACCAACAGCTTTGATGCTTTCTGAGTACATACCTGGCTTCTTGTAAAATTCACCTAGCCATCGTGACCTTATTAAACAGGGTCAGAAGCTGAAAGCATTGGGTGCCGTTCAGGACTTTTGGACGAAAGAATTTTTCACTGTGTTTTTTTAAAAAAATACTGTGGACTAAGTCCATAAACTGGCAGATTGCTCCGATGCTTAAAACGGAGACCTGTGAAAGCAGAGGTGCTGGGGTTCGACGGGAAGGACCCTCGTCATGAGCACGACAGGGCACGAGATGGGTGGATGGCGGTCCTTGTGGGTGGTGGGCAGCATGGCAACTCACCCAGATGCCTTTGGGTGATCATGGAGACGACTCTCTGCAACCCTGTGCCTCCTTCCTATACAACATGGAAAACCACCAGCTGCAGACCTGCCTCTTGATTTTCCCTGCAGCAGAGAGTGAGTCACGGAGTTGTCTAAGGCAGGCATTCCCAGAAAATGTCGTTTTCTGGGAGTGGGGGGGGAAGAAAAAAATCTTACTATGTTGTGTATAAAGCACAGAATAATACAGAAAATAAACAGATACAAGGATATTCGTGGTATTAGAATTTCATTTTTTCCTAAACTCCCTAATTATCCCTTCCCCTATTCTTCCCCCCCGGGTGACCATCAGGTTATCACAGAGTGTTGAGCAGAGTTCCCTGGGCTGGCCAGCAGGTCCTTGCTGGTTCTCCATGTTAAACACAGCCGTGTGTCCACGTCCATCCCAGACTCCCTGACTGTCCCTCCCCCATCCTTCCCCCTGGGGACCATCAGGTTATCACAGAGTATTGAGCAGACTTCCCTGAGCTGGCCAGCAGGTCCTTGCTGGTTCTCCACGTTAAATCCAGCCGTGTGTCCATGTCCATCCCAGACTCCCTGACTATCCTCCCCCATCCTTCCCCCTGGTGACCATAAGGTTATCACAGAGTATTGAGCAGAGTTCCCTGTGCTGGCCAGCAGGTCCTTGCTGGTCCTCCATGTTAAATACAGCCGTGTGCCCATGTCCATCCCAGACTCCCTGACCGTCCCCGCTACCGTTCCCGCAGGAACTATAAGTTCATTCTCTATGTCTGTGAGTTTGTTTCTGTTTCAGAAAGAAGTTCACTTGTATCATTTCTTTTTAGACTGCTCAGATAACGGCTGTCATATGATATTTCACCTTCTCTGTCTAACCTACTTCAATCAGTGTGACAGTGTCTAGGTCCATCCGTCTTGCTGCAGATGGCATCATTTCCTTCTTTTTGATGGCTCCGTAATATTCCCTTGGGTATATATGTACCACATCTCCTTTATCCATTCTTCTGTCGATGACCATTTAGGGTGCATCCATGTCCTGGCTGTTGTGAATAGTTCTGCAGTGAACATTGGAGTGTGTGCATGTTTTTTTTTTTTAATATTAACAGACCTTATTTTTATTTTTTTTCATTTATTTTTATTAGTTGGAGGCTAATTACTTTACAATATTGTAGTGGTTTTTGCCATACATTAACATGAATCAGCCATGGATTTACATGTGTTCCCCATCCCAATCCCCCCTCCCGCCTCCCTGCCCATCCGATCCCTCTGGGTCTTCCCAGTGCACCAGCCCCGAGCACTTGTCTCATGCATCCAACCTGGACTGGTTATCTGTTTTACCTTCGATAATATACATGTTTCAATGCTGTTCTCTCAGATCATCCCACCCTCGCCTTCTCCCATAGACTCCAAAAGTCTGTTCTATACATCTGTGTCTCTTTTTCTGTTTTGCATATTGGGTTATCATTACCCTCTTTTTATTTTTTATTTTTTATTTTTTTCTTTTCATTTATTTTTATTAGTTGGAGGCTAATTACTTTACATCATTGCAGTGGTTTTTGTCATACATTGAAATGAATTAGCCATGGATTTACATGTATTCCCCATCCCGGTCCCCCCTCCCACCTCCCTCTCCACCCGATCCCTCTGGGTCTTCCCAGTGCACCAGGCCCGAGCACTTGTCTCATGCACCCAACCTGGGCTGGTGATCTGTTTCACCCTAGATAATATACGTGTTTCGATGCTGTTCTCTCGAAACATCCCACCCTCGCCTTCTCCCAGAGTCCACAAGTCTGTTCTATACATCTGAGTCTCTTTTTCTGTTTTGCATATAGGGTTATCGTTACCATCTTTCTAAATTCCATATATATGTGTTAGTATACTGTAATGGTCTTTATCTTTCTGGCTTACTTCGCTCTGTATAATGGGCTCCAGTTTCATCCATCTCATTAGAACTGATTCAAATGGATTCTTTTTAATGGCTGAGTAATATTCCATTGTGTATATGTACCATAGCTTCCTATCCTTTTTTCCCCCCTCTCTGGATATATGCCCAGGAGTGGGATTGGGAGACTATAGTCAATCATGGGGTGTTGATTAGGGAAAATAAAAAAAGTTTCAGAAATCTCCTTAGAGGGTCACAGTGGAAAAAAACCTTCTCTTTGCTGGATGATATATAGCGGGGTGGGGCAAGGCTTGATGGCAGAGAAGAGGAAGTAAGGTGGAGACGGCCACCTGCTGGGAGCGGTTGGACTGATGGAGAAAGCAGAGAGAAGGCAGTATGCGTGCTGCTCTCCTAGAATGAGCACGGAGCCAGTGGAGCGTGCAGTTCTGGACTAACGTAGACGAGGACATTCTTGTCTATCTGCTCGTTGCCTCCACGGGTAACCTCTTAAGGACCTTTTCCCAACCCTTGAAGACGTCTTGACCGTGTTGCAGACTTCCCACACATTGGCAGTTATGGGAACAAGTCCTCATTTTCGTGATGAAGTCTCGTTTGCCTCGTGTGGCAAGCTCCCGCCCGCTTTTGTGCTTGGGTGCAACCCCGAGTGTCTCTTGTTCCTGCAACTGGTGACCATGAGGCACGCAGAGGGAACAGTGTGGGATTTCACTCTTCTCTCTGCCTGCATCTTTTCCCACTCGGCCTTTTGCAGGTGGGGAGCAGGGAAGGGAGAAAGGATTTTAGTTATTTATTCAGTGCTTTTGGTTTGGATACAGACGTGTAACCCTGCATTAAATAAAGTATTAGTTATGAGGGGGAGAAACTCCACCATTTCAATATATAAAACTGTCCATTCGGTCTTTTTTGATGATTTAGGCCAACTGATCTCACTATGAATTTTCAAGTCCGGCTTTTGGGAACCTTCATTTTGTTACCAGGAAGTGTTTCAGCCCATGGGCAGGGGCCTATAGATTCTACATTGCTGTAATAAAATTGTTCAAGTAGAGCCCAGCCAAGTAAACTTGTGTTGAAAATTATTTGGTCTGACACATGCACGCGTGCTAAGTCGCTTCAGTCGTGTCCGACTCTGTGCGACCCCATGGGCTGTCGCACATCAGGCTCCTCTGTCCTCGGGTTTCTCCAGGCAAGAATATTGGAGTGGGTTGCCATTTCCTTCTCTGACACATAGGGTATGTCTTCCTCGGGGAAAATAAAAGTGTTGTCTGTTGTGTCCTGCAACGGAAGTTAGGGCCCCATTCTACACTAGCCCACCCTGCTCTCCCGGGCGTGCGGAAGGTCGGGTTTGGAGTCTCCGATCTTGGAACTCCAGTTCCATACGCTGTCCCTCTTAGGCAGCCCTCACTTAAGAGCCCAGCTCCGCTCAGCCGGACTCTCAGATCTCTCCGGAGCTCTCCGCCCCAGCAGCACCCGATGTAACCCTCCCGTGTTGACACAAAACGCCTTGACAACAACCCGCTCTCTCCTAGCCACCATTTACCTGCCGCTTGCCAAGCAGCCTTTACGCTTCTTCACAGAGGCTGTTTGTATTTACTCCCGGCTTCTTCCAGAAAAGCCACTGTGTTCCCCGCTTGGCAGCAGTACCTCTGAGAGGCCCCGGGTGGGCGCCTCCGATCGCAGACGGAGGACAGCTGAGCGCCGTTGCAGGCACGCCGTCAGGGAGGGGACTGCAGTCCCCCCGGCGTTGCTCACCTCCCACCGCGGACTGGAGCTCTGTCTCTGGGGGAGCACTTACTCCCAGAGGCTCCGTTTGGGTCATCTTGTGGCTCAGCTAGTAAAGAATATGCCTGCATTGCCGGAGACCTGGGTTTGATCTCTGGGTCGGGAAGATCCCTTGGAGAAGGGATGGGCTACCCACTCCAGTATTCTTGGGCTTCCCTGTGGCTCAGCTGGTAAAGAGTCCACCTGCAATGCAGGAGGCCTGGGTTCCCTCCCTGGGTTGGGAAGATGCCCCTGGAGAAGGGGAAGGCTACCCACTCCGGTATTCTGGTCTGCAGAATTCCATGGACTGTGTAGTCCATGGGGTCGCCAAGAGTCAGACACGACTGAGCAACTTTCACTTTCAGGCCTTCCCCAGTGAGACGGAAATCCACAGAGGGAGCCTGTGCATCTCACTGGGAGAGGGGTTGGGGTAATAAGGTGACACATGTATGCCCTTTCTTTCTTTTCAGTGACTTGTTCCATAGGAAACTCTGTTTTGTATTTCTGCAAGTAAAGACAGCCTGCCAAAAAAAAAAAAAAACTCTTGATTTTGAGGAGGTAGAAATGAATTGTTACAGATGGAAAAAAGAAAAAAAAAGAGACATTTTCTTTAGAGAAAAAGGCATTTTACTTCCAAATAAAAACTGATTCTCCTTTTTCTAATGAAAAAGAGGGAAAAAATTGTAGACACGACAACCAAACTGCCACCATCAACCTCACTTACCCTCGGGGAACACCTCCCAGGGCTGTGATTGTGGTGGACACACAGCCAAAGAGTGGTGTCTGATTACAGCGGAGGGCTTAGCGGACCCTCAGCATTCTCCTCAAGAGCCCTCACTAATCACATCCGGTTTCTTTAAGATCATGACGTGGCAGAGGCCACACTCGGACAGACCCGACCGACCATGTGGCGGACATGATAGACTTGCTGCAGCTCAAACGGGTTCTTAAATGCACACGTTGAATTAAACAGATGCTGCCTGAAATTGTTCTCATTAGCAACCTGCCAAGCTTGCCTGTTGATGGGATATAGGGGTTTATCAAAATATCACTGAAGTGTTTATTTGTTTAATGAGTAGTGTGTGTGTCTGTGTGTACCGTTATTCAATTTTTTAATCTCTCCGATGTAATGGCAGAGGGTATTGCCTCTGTTGGATGGCATCACCGACTCGATGGACATGAGTTTGGTGTTGGGTGGCATCACTGACTCGATGGATGTGAGTGTGAGCAAGGTCCGGGAGTTGGTGATGGACAGGGAAGGGGGGCAGTGCTGCAGTCTGTGGGGTCACAGAGTCGGACACGACTGAGCGAGTGAACTGAACTGACTGCCTCTGTATTGCTAATCGTTCCCATTGGCAGATTGTCTGCTAATTAGTGGGCCGTCTTCCAGGGGCACTGTTCAAAGAGGTATACATCTCCATCTGAAGGGGAAAAAAGCTCTTCAGGGAGTCTACATCAGAGACTAAGAAAACAAGAGATATAAAGTAAAAAATAAAAACAAACAAACAAAAAACCGAGATGTAAACTGGTGCTGAGGCTTTGTCCTCCTGTTTTGCAGGTATTCTGGCCCTGACAGGGTCTTCCTCCCCCCGACTCTCTGGAAAATTTCACATTCCGGGCGCCTCCCCTTCGGACAAGGGCGTCTTGTGTCTTCGAGTCCAGCTGGAGAGCCTGGCGGGCAAACAGCGCAGGCTGTTCAGTCCCGGAGCCGCTTGACACATGCACGGCCGAAGCCAAGGCGGCGTCATCGCCCCAGACGTGCTGGTTCACAGGCAGCTTGGCGCAGCTCAGACGCGGCGATCGGGCCCGCGAAAGGTAGGATGTGGACACGTGTTTCCCATCAGTACGTCCGCCCCTGCTCACACTGCTACGTCTCTGGTTGCCGTTCCATCATCCAGATGGATGTTTCATAGGAGGATGTGTTATTTGGTCCAGCTGGAGCTCTCCCAGGGGGCCAGCGGTGGCGTCACCTGCCCGGGTGTTCCCGCTGGGTCTCAGCTGGGGCTGGGGCCACTACAAAGCTCGACACAGACCCTCTTCACTGACTCCCAGGCCCCCCAGGCGGCCTCCCTGGACTGGCACACCCCCCGCCCCTCTGATTGCAGAAGAAACTCTAGAACTCTGCAGTGATGGCCGGCCAGAGATTTTTTTTCAATAGCCATTATGCCCTGAGCAATGGCCCACTTTCACAAGAGTTCTTTGAGACTGTGGTTAAAGGTGCCAGTGAGATACCCCTTTCAGTGGCCACGTAGATCAAAGCCACGCAGATGACGCTGATTTGAGGTGGATTGTGGGGACCAGGAACAACGTGGCGTAGAAGAGGGTGGGTGCTGAGGCTGAGTGAGTGGGGAATAACAGGTGGGCTCTGATCCCTGGGTCGGGAAGACCCCATGGAGAAGGGATAGGCTACCCACTCCAGTATTCTTGGGCTTTCCTGGTGGCCCAGCTGGTAAAGAATCCGCCTGCAAGGTGGGAGACCTGGGTTTGATCCCCGGGGTGGGAAGATCCCCCTGGAGAAGGGAAAGGCTACCCCTCCAGGATTCTGGCCTGGAGAATCCCAGGGACTGTATAAGTCTGTGTGGTCACAAAGGGTCAGACACGACTGAGCGACTTTCTCTTTCGCTTTCACTTTCTGTCCAGGAGGCAGGAGTTGGTCCAGGCACAGGGCCGTCTTCTGGGCCTCGATGCTCAGATGCACAAGCGTAAAAGGAGACCTGGAGGTCTGCTTTTTTTTTTTTTTGGCTGCACAGTATAGCACATAGGATCTCAGTTCCCCGATCAGGGCTCAAACTCGCGTCCCCTGCATTGGAAGCACAGAGTCTCAACCACTGGACGGCCAGGGAATGCCCCCAGAATCCCCCAGGGCTGCTTTTACAAAAACTGAGCACTCATCCGGCCTCCATTGCCCAGAGTAGAGAAAACAAAAGTCACGTCTAAAGCCTGACCCATACTCAGTAGTGGTTTCTCCTTTCCCAGCCTATTTATGAAAGTGAAAGTCGCTCAGTCATGTCCCACTCTTTGCGACCTCATGGACTATACAGTCCATGGAGTTCTCCAGGCCAGAATACTGGAGCAGGTAGCCTTTCCCTTCTCCAGGGGGATCTTCCCAACCCAGGGATCGAACCCAGGTCTCCCGCATTGCAGGAGGACTCTTTACCAGCTGAGCCACAAGGGAAGCCCAAACATGGGTAGCCTATCCCTTCTCCAGCGGTTCTTTAGTTATCTCTACTTTGCCCTTTTCCTTTGTTCCAGCAACAGTGTCACCTTTATTCTATTTAAATTGTACCTTAGAATTTAGTGCCAGACATAAGACTCGTAGTATCATGAAATTAAATAGTAAGTTATCCAAGTTGATTTTCCATTATATCTTAACCTGTACTTGGAATGCAATTTTAAACACGTTCTCCTTCCCAAAAGTTATCAGAAAATTTATCGTTTACCAATCCTGAGGGTAGGTAATTTATGAGTGAAAGTGCAAGTCACTGCATTGTGTCTGACTCTCTGCGACCCCATGGACCCTACACTCCATGGAATTCTCCAGGCCAGAATACTGGAGTGGGTAGCTGTTCCCATCTTCAGGAGATCTTCCCAACCCAGGAAGTGAACCCAGGTCTCCCACATTGCAGGTGGATTCCTTACCAGCTGAGGCACCAGGGAAGCCCAAGAATACTGGAGTTTGGCATGTATGGTCTAGTTCCCCGACCAGGGATGGAACCTGGCCCAACTTTATTGGGAGCATGGAGCCTTAGCCACTAAACCACTAGGGACGTCCTTAGTTCTGCCTGTTTGATTCCTATCGACAAAACCAAAAGAACAAGACGCAGTTCCTAGCCGACATCTGAGTTTTTCATGGCACCAAAATCCACGTGCTATGCCTGCTCTGCAAGGCTCAGTACGGTTTCCTATAAAGAGTCAGGAAGGCAGCACATCAGGCCTTCTGACCTGTAGGGTCCTGATTTCAACCACTCAACTCTGCTGGGCTAGCAAGTAAGCATTCAGAGATCTGTGACATGTAAGTAGATGCATGTGCCTCTGTTCCAGTAAAACTTTATTTATAACACTAGGTGGGATTCCATGTATCCCTATACCATAATTTTTCTCCAACAAAATACACATTTTTGTCCCCTTCGGATCTGTCCATATTTTCCATCTTTGCATCATGCTGCTGTGTGGAGAGTGGGTCTTACCCCCCACCCCCCAGTGATGTTCCTTATAAATCCCTAAATATGAAACTACCTTGAAAAGTTTCTGCTGTCAGCATCCTTCCCGGAAAGGTTAGTCTTTTTTTCTTAATTAGTTTTTAATTGGAGGATAATTGCTTTACAGTGTTTCATTGGTTTCTGCCCTACAACAAGCTGAATCAGCCGTCTTATGTCAGAAATGTATCATCCTGTTCCAAATTGCCTCTTAAACAGACTGTGCTGTGGTTTTATTCGGGGAAGGGGGCGGCCTCCAGGCGTGGTTCTGGGAGAGATCAGAGAACTGGCGAGCTCCTGAAAATATGTGTTTATTGCAAATGCAGGGTGAGCCAGTTAGTCATGTCCAGGATTCAGAACAGAAAGAGGCTACTGTTGGGGCAAAGATTCTGACAGGAAAAGATGAAAGAGGTTTTGTGTCTGCAGCGACTGGGAAAGAGAGAAGCCATCAGTCTTGTCTGCAGCCGTCGTGATGGAAAGGGCGAGGTACGCAGCTCCTTTTGATGTGAATAAACACGGTTTTGTAGATTTCCATAATTCAGGGAGGTGTTCGGATTGGCCCATTTTCTGCTCATAGGTTGTTCATGTTGAGATTCAAGCTTTCGCTGCAGGTAAACCTCCTCCTCCTCCAGAATGACAGGAAGTGGCCGACAAGGCTCATGGTGAATCATGTTTGTCTGTGTATCAGCGTTGTGTCTCCTCCAAGGGCAGGAGAATGTTCTTCTGCTCGATGATGTTGTAGACACCTACGATGAAACATGAGGAGACCTAATTCTGCAAATCAGATTTAGATGTGAAATCAGAAAGTCCAGGGAGAACTAGTCCCATTACTGTTTGTATCCAAAAGTGGAACGTCTTACTGGGTTCCTGATTTTTTTTTTTCCTTCAGTTGATCTCTCCGAATTGGTATCAAATAACCATTGTTATTTCTTTCAGTTGGTTCATTTAGTTTAACACCCGCTGCTGAGAACCAAGTGTTCTCTGAGGCAGTGGTTGCTCACCTTTTTGATGTCAAGGACTGGTTTCGTGGAAGACAGTTTTCTCACAGGCTGGGGAGAGGAAGATGGTTTGGGGATGATTCAACCACGTTACATTTATTGTGCCCATTATTTGTATTGTCATTACAACAGCTCAACCTTGGATCATCAGGCATTAGGGCTTGGAGATTGCGGACCCCTGCTCTGTGGCATGCAAACACCTATTCATTAAATTCAGTTACGCTATGACTCTTGCTGCTGTTGCTCATTCACTTAAGTTGTGTCCTACTCTCTGCGACCCCACGGACAGCAGCACATCAGGCTCCTCTGTCCTTCACTATCTCCCGGAGTTTGTTCAAACTCATGTCCATTGAGTCAGTGATGCCATCCAGCCATCTTACCTTTTGTCCCCCGCTTCTCCTCCTGCCTTCAATCTTTCCCAGCATCAGGGTCTTTTCCATCAAGTCAGCTCTTCGCATCAGGTGGCCAAAGTATTGGAGCTTCAGCATGAGTCCTTCCACTGAATATCGATGGTTGATTTTCTTTAGGATGGACTGGTTTGATCTCCTTGCCGTTCAAGGGATTCTCAAGAGTCTTCTCCAATACCACAGTTCCAAAGCATCAATTCTTAGGCACTCAGCTTTCTTTTATAGTCCAACTCTCACATCCATACATGACTACTGGAAAAACTATAACTTTGACTTGAGGGACCTTTGTCGGCAAAGTGATGTCTCTGCTTTTTAATATGCTGTCTAGGTTGGTCATAGCTTTTCTTCCAAGGAGCAAGCGTGTTTTAATTTCATGGCTGCAGTCACCATCTGCAGTGATTTTGGAGCCCAAGAAAATAAATTGCTTGAGGTCAGTGATTTGGCTCAAACAATTCAACTTTGTGAACCTAGCTCTGTAAAGTTGGTATCACAGTGAAGAGAATTCCTGTGCCTGCATCACAGATCTTGGCGTATCAGACAACAGTGAAAACCCAGGGAAGCAAATAGCTCGGTGCTGCTGGTCCAGAAGAGCTGATTAAAGAGGTGATTTCAAGGAGGCTGAAGTCGCTATTGGAAAGTGTATCAGTCAGCTGTCGCCGTGTAACAAGTTAACCACCTGCTGAATCGCTTCAAACATGCTTGTTACCTCGTAGTTTCTGTGGGTCCAGAGTCTGGACGTGACCTGGCTGGGTCCTCTGCTGGGGTCTCACGTGGCTCCAGTCAAGGTATGCGCTGGGCTGTGTTGTCATCTGGAAGCTTGAGTGGAGAAGGAGGCACTTCTGAGCTCCCGCCGGCTGTTGGGGGGAATCCAATTCCTTGTGCTTGTAGCGTTCATGGCAGAACTGATAGGGAAGATGGAAGCGTACAGGTAGCCTCGTGGTGTGACTTAAGAAAGAACGCTGCTCACCACTCTTTCAGTGAGCAGATGATGGGGGAAAATTGGAGTTACTGCTTCAGCCCCAGAATTTGTGGTAATTTGTTGCTCAGCAGGAGACCTCATAGACATAAGAACAAGGGTAGAAATTAAAAGCAGTTGGTGGTGAAAATAGGAACACGTAATGGGATCTGTGTCAATGTGATTTACATAAACGTGAAACACACATAGAAGTACAGATTTCATAAAGACAGATGAGCAAATAGCGCACATGAAACAT